GCAAAACTTTACGAATATTTACTTGATCGACTCTTCTTTGCGAACATTTTTGCGTCGAATAATCAGAGATATTTGTAATAAAGTGAATCTCAAAAGTCACGACTGCGAATACAATTCTCCCGAGTTAATTACAAACGGACTTTGATTCATCGCGATCGATTCTGAGGAACTCTCAATAGGATCGATCGACATGTTTCCGCGGGAAGTGAGTAATAAATAATACGGCCGGATTATCGCGCGCAAACTTTAATTAACGCGCGACGCGATGCATTAAGGCATAATTAAGCGCGAGGCACACGACTTCTCATATTTTAAACGGATCGACATGTAGCGAATTATAATGTTCGAGTATTATTTAGCGAGAGATTACGTCCTTGAGGAGATAATAATCCCGAGTATACTTGTAATTCGTACGTATCTCGCTACATATAGGTACTTGTTGATTGCTTCTCAAATTAAAAAGAGTACATCTATTCATTCGAAAAAAAAAAAAAAAAAAAAAAAGAGAATTACAGTTGAACAAATCGAGTTGAAAAAATTGAAAAAATTTCGAGTCTGAGAGAGAGAGAGAGAGAGAGAGAATGGTGGATCGGTTGTGCGATTTAGGGTCAAGCGACGTTGAATCGTGTCCGGCCACTTGGTGCGATGTAAAATACCGGAAGTGCGTATGAACGGCTCCGATCCGTCATACGACTATGCAGATTTCTACGTGCGCGATATACACTTCTGTGCTTTAAGAATATTTTGTGATCTCGCGCTTGACAAATTTTTTTTTAACGCACAATAGGCGGAGCCAGCGGCAGAAATGGTGGCAGTTTTCCCTCCACAAATGCAACGGAGGTATTATCTTTGTTTTTCCTCTGTTCGTCTCGCAATTATGCCTACATTCGTATGCACGATGGAAGCGGTATCGGTAATTACGCTCGGCAGTATAATTAACAACGTATATACGCGGCGTAGGTCGCGACGAGAGTTACGTCTTCTTTTCTTTTGCGCGAAGCTCGACATCGATGCGAGATGCCCGTCTCTTTAGAAATTTAGTACGTACGTGTACGTAACGGAACGAGGTGTGTTACGGAAGAATGGGAAAACAATTAAAAAACACAATTTCCACAGCGGCTCCTCCCCCTGCGTCGTTTTCCGCGAGCGTTTTGAGAATAGTGCCTCGATGTCCTCGGTGAAAGCGAACTAGTATAATTGAATTGGTTATAGTAATTTAATTTGTTGCTAATTAACGTTAAAGCGCGCGCACGCGCTCATGAGTTTGCGATTCTGAAAAGTGAAATTTTAGAGATGCGCTTAACTATAAAAACTATAAACTAACTTGAACAGCTTCCGAGAGTACGAGACGTAGATTTCGTTCTTTATAATCTGTAGTAAAATTTTTATCGAGTTTTTGGCAAAAACAAAATCGATATTTTATTTATATGCGCTTTGGAATGGCAGTTAAGTTTTGAAAAATTCCAGAATAATTTCAGACTTATATGTAGATCCTTTTTCATCGCGATCGAGTTAAGATTCCGGAGTAAACTAGGACGTAGTTAAAAACAAATAAGAGATAACGAGAGTTCCGAGAGTGGAGAAATAAGAGATCCTTGATGAATTTTCTCGGTGGCGTCACGCGTCATGAGATCATCGACGTCAGAAAATTGTGTATACACGCAAGACATTGCCGTTAGAAAGATATCGCTAATAGGAATTGCCCACACGATTTCTGTTCAACGCGCACTGACAGAATGCAGGCAATAATGACTCGTCGTTACATAATATAGCACATGTACAACATTACGCATAATCGTGCATAAACACGCGCTTATCAAGCGCGCCGCCGCGTGTAGTGTGTCATGGGTTAAGCAAACAATTATTACATGATTATAGAGAAAGCAACTTGCCCCTTTTTATTTCAGCAAGGGAAGTTCTTTGAATTTGACGCGAAACAAACTCAAAGGCAATGTTTCCAAATTTTCCGCTTGAATGTCGAAAATTCCTTACTCTAAGTAATTATTACGTGAGATTGTATTATTTTTATAACGATAAGAGACAACTTTTTGAATTTCGAATAGCTTATGCTCGCTTGACCGGATAATGCAAAGGTTAACAGGGACAGCGATCGTCGCGACAAAAGGGCATTGGGCGCTATTCTGTATTTTCATATCTGATCGTGCACAACGTGCGGAATCGTGCGCAGCGCTGCGCGCGGCCAAGATAAATCTATGTGTTACCACCCTACCTTTCACTTGTGCACGTGTGCGCATGCATCTCGCGCTGCCCTCAAGGTAATAAGACGCGAGTTTAGAGGCGAGAGAGCGCGGGTAGCGAATTCACTAGGTGTGACAGGGTGATATCTGACAGCTGTATAATAAATACGCGACCATTACCCGCGACTACAGAACCATAATTATGGTCGTTAAAATCTTAAGTTTTGAATCTAACATCCAAGTTCTAGAATCTTTGCGAGATATTGCCTCGTTTGGAAATCAATTCTGGCAATTTGTCTAGATAAAAGAAAAAAAATGTATACACACACGTGCGCGCGCGCACACGCGTAGATTTTGCGAAGATATTTTTAGACATCCGTTTCATTCAATAAAATATTTGTTTAATATATCTACGACATTTTTATTAAGTTTTATATGTTTTCGGTGATTTTTTTTCAAGAGTGGAGTTCTTTTGTTTTCTTGATTGTTTGAAATTAGAAATCACTTATGTAAATTTTGATTTGCCCGCCAGACCGTTCTGTACAACCTTTCCGTGTCAAATAACTTCACCGCGGGAGAATGACGACGGCTTCGATCCACGTGTTTACCACAGAAATTCCATTACAGCATATCTACTATGAAAAAAATCGTCGATTTCACTGGCAAAACACGAATGCAAGTAGTATAGTTGTAAAAACGCCAATATCAGGCGTGAGTTACGTTAGCGTGAACTATGCGTAAAATTACTTGTAAATCGGAAAAAGAAGAGATAGAAAATTGAATACATGCAACGAGCGAGTATTACCGTTTATATGCATGAATGAATAAGAAAAGTACCGTAATGTAACGCGCGATTTGATTGAACATTGATTAATTCCCCGCGACCGGGGAATTATCTCGACCGCGAAAGTTGCGCAGAATGATTTTCATTAAATTATATGCGTATCTTTGATGTATGCAACGCCAGATATTATTATATTTAATGCCGAGCTCATGAACATGTAGAGCGCGACATTACAAAATGCTAGAATATTCACACAGATGTGTAGCAATCAGCAGACGGAATAGCATACATCGCTAGTTTAACATTTAAGATTGATTTCTCGGATTGACTTAGTCGTAACCGGAAGTTTGAGTGCTCATTGAAGAGAGATGAACACGGCGCTTCGCGGAAGATGGTCATTATAGCGCTTCACGGCTATTTTGAGTTCTATTAATATCTCTGAAATCAAGCGAAGCGCCATAGCTCTGCCAAGCCCATGTATGACCTAATCGCGGCTAATGTTTATGCATAAGATGTAGCGAAGGATACATACTCAATGCCTGAGCGCGTGCTCCATTTGGCATCTTCGAAACAAACAACAAAAAAACGTCCATAGTTAATGTAAAAAATTTTTAAAAATGCCATCCAACATTGGTGCCATTTTTATCAAGCTAACGAAGTCGTTTTGTCCGCTTATCGAAACGACGTTAAAACACTAGCTAGAGTCTGACATTTATGTCACGACAACAAAATTTAAAATCACGTTGATTTACAAGAATAATTTATTATAACAGACACAATAGAAGCACCTCGCTGCCAAACGATGAGAACCGCCTGGCCTTTCGAGCAACTACCGCGAGTAACATAGTGATTAATAACCGCGATTAATATCGCATCGGACGAGGAATGTCGCGGAACTTTGGGAAGGAGAGGAGGAATTCAAGAGAGAGACGATATTTATCGTATATATAGTTTTGTAATCGCACACGAGAAGGAGAAATCCATCTACATGTATATTATTTTGAGTTGCGACCGATTGCGCAAGCGGTATGTCGCGGTGGATCAGCGGTGGTAGCAATTCTCGCCTATAGACGAACTCTCTCTCTCTCTCAGTCTATATATCGGATTTTTCCTATCAATCGAGAAGGTGTCGAAGTATACAGTTGCCAGTGACATGTAATATTCGCGACCGAAATTTGAACACCCGACGGCGTTCGCAAGGCCGTCTGTTTCGAGACGGGACAGAGGTCTCCCTTCTCCCGATGGTGTGGATTACAGGCAACGCTTGAAACAAAATATTATACCGATACACGCGGTGTCTATCGCGGCAACGATTCTATCGTTGTGTATACACGCAATATTATGTAACATCCACACAACACAGAAGAGCGTAGATAACGCGAGAATTGCGATCTCGTTGTGTCGTTCGCACAAGGAAACGAACACAACGGAACAATGGAACTACTTTTCGATACTTGTCCATTTCTTATTCTTCACCGTTCGTTTTCCCGCGAAAACAAAGAGATGAAATACCGATCAAAAGGAGGTATCTACTAATATGTCATTAGATCGAAGGCAACGGTACCGTGAAAACCGACGAGTATTCTCGTCACATCGAGAAACACGAGGTTCTTCGTAAATATTCATGACGTATATATAAATACAAGTGCGAGGGAACAGACAGATGAGAGGAGTCCTGCATGCAAAGTCAGGATCGGCTACGTGATAGACTCCGTGCCTGCGCGATGGCAGCACGATACAAGGCTGCACGCGCGCGTTGAATAGCAATGAATACCGCGCCGGTGAAGCGTGGCACAACACATCGTGTTTGGTTAAGTTTTCGTCGAACGGGTTTTAGAAGTTAAAGTCTGGACGCGGCGCATTTGCAATTTTTTGTCACGCGTTTGTTCAGTCAAATGTATACTCGACTAAATAATGCAATCGCAATGATCGAAACATGTTGTCGCGACGACAGAAAATCATCAAAGTTCACGCATAGCTAAGCATTATCCTACAGCGAAAATCAGCAGTTTACTCACCGTCGGATGACATCGCCGAAGGTAAAAGATCACCGGCGGCCTTTAGCTGATCGAACCTTTCTATTAAAAGAAGCATCCTGCAAGCAGAAGAAGCGTAATGTTTTTTTTTTTACAAAATATTTTACAAACAGCAATTTTTCAGATTGTTATCAACACACTACAACGTAGATTGACATTTAGCGAGAAAGATTTTTCTAGAACTGCAATTCATTCAAAAATTATATGAAATTCTCTGTTGCATAATGTTACGATTGACAGTTTTATTAATACGCAAGTCAGTCGATATTCAAGAAAGAAGAGAACATCTTTCGAGAACGACTGGATTGCGATTAAAAACATATAAAAATTCCATGCGGAATGAAAGCTGTAAGAAAATCGCTTTCTCTTGACATTTTACTCACTTGGCTTGCGGCACATCGTGCTTTCTTTGCAAATCGACGCGTAATCTCTCGCCGACGTGCCGGTAGATGTCTGCCAGCGTGTTTAAAGCGGTTTCACGGACCTTCTCCGAGGGGTCGGACAGTAACTTCACGATGTTCGGTATCACTCCGGACAGAGCCATCTCGTCCGCTCCGTGTCTAAAAATAATTTAAATATACATTTATAAGAGACGTTTTGTTATTTTCCATAAATGTTTACGCACTTCAAATCCATAGATTCTAACTTACTCGTTCAGCGTTGTCGTTAGGAGGATCAAAGCTTCCTCTCGTAACTTCGCATTTTTATGGTTGAACGCTGGACGAAGTCTATCCAGAAGATTTTGGGGTGACATACATCCCTTCTCCATGATTTTGAGAAGTACCAACTGCGCCTTCTCTCTTGTGGCATCTTTGCTGTCGCCTGTGTGTGAGAAAACGCGAATTTCATTTTTGTTAGATGAACGTACAAAAAGTATTGTCAAATCATCGTGCGGCATGTATGTGCGTAAGACATTTAATTATCAACATGAGCTTAGGACATCTGAAAGCGATCGGCGACTCTTGAACGAACATGATGTATATCTGTCATAAACATCAACTTCGTTAAAGCCGTTTGCACTTCACTCTATCTGCGTTTGTTCTATTAAAAATTCATTTAGAGATTAACGGATGATTATTTATTCGATATTTACGCGACACGAGAGAGTCTCTGTATAAACGAGATTTATTTATATCTTTTTTCTAATTATATGAACGATAATCGTCTTATTTCTGTTTTTGCGCATTGTAAAAATATTTACGTTAACGACACGCGTCTCTCCGTTTTTATCAGTGCCAATTATCGGTCATCGTGAAATGTTCGTGAAATTATCGCGATCGTCATAAATAATAGCAGAAATTTATCAAATTCGTATTGCATTTCACGTCACCATCTCCGAGAACGATTTACGAGACAAAATAGATGGAAACAAATACGCCCCGTACTCACCTAGCCTGTCTATCGTCGGCTGAATGATGCTCGAGATGTAAGGCTTGAAATCGTGACCCATCCGATCCGCGAGATACGTTAGAATCTCTAGACCGTTCTGGACAACCTGCAAAAAAGAAAACGTGGCGTTTGAATTTATGACCGCATATCCAACGGCAATTATAGCGGCGACGATTGTCCTTCTTTGACAGGAATTGCTTTCGCGTCTCGATCGAACATCAAGGCGATCGAGGTCTACTGGATAATTTAGCGAGCACAGAAAGTGTTTGATACGAGACTTTGATGCGAGCTGTATTAATTAACGATGATCAGTGTAAACGTTGACGAATTTAATTTTCCACTGCAAGCGTATATTTATACGCTACTGTCACGAGCTGTGGCGCGACGTTTAAATACATTTAACGAAGTGCTATACATAGTCGCGTATAAACCTATTTTCGAGTCGTGGGGTAAATGTTCTCTCAGAGCTATCGTCTGAATGTGTGACATCATTGCTCAGCACCGAGAGAGTTTTTGCCCACTTCTCTCTTTGGCTCTAATTTTCCGCGCTGTTATCTTCACACTCAAAAGAGAATATATATGCGCTTTTTTCACTTTTATCCACGCAATAATCGTATATTAAGTTTCATTTATAAAGTTTCTTTATTTGCGTAAAGTTTCAAAATTAGAAAATTTCAAATTAGAAAAATATAAAAAAAGGTTTTACTTTTTTGGAAGTTTTACTTTTTCAAAAAAAAAAACTTTTTCGCCGCTTTTCCGAAACAGGTATTCAACGAAAGATTAATAGACCACTTGAGCAGCTCTTTAATACCAAATGTACGATGAAAGGCAGTAGTATAACAGTAGCTTTTCGTGTACGAAGAGATTAAATAGAACACACGAAGAGAGTCGTGTACAAAGAAGTTGACACGCACGCGCGTGGGCTAAAACTTAGCCGCCTTGTCAAACTTGGGCCACAGTCGGTTAAAACTCTCTGTTAGTAGCGCTACGTGGGAGGCTGTTGGTTTTCCTCTGGAGCGAGACGCATATCGCGTACAGATCCGCGCCATGTGATCGGCGGAAATGAGCCCGGGGGGAGTTGGAACATGTCCCCATTGAAAATTCGGAACGCATATTTTCGGATGCGCGGTGTATATACAGAGTAACAAACATGTCGCTGAACTTCTTGGCACAGTTCAACAGAAATCCGAATACAAGACTTGAACGAAGAACTGCGCTGATTATTATGAAAGCGGCCGCAAATGCGACGACACAGGGAATTGAGTTCATTCTCTTAGTCGAGTCTCGTCGCAAAGTACATCTTTTTTCGTGAAAACGCGAAATTCCGACAATTAACTCGCGTCACTCTCATAATCGTCGCGATTTAGACGAGTCGCAAGCGCGATCATCGAGCGAGTAGATTATTCTTTCCTTCGTATAAAAATCGCACGCAAAAGTTTTTTTTTCTTTTTTTAACATCGCAAAGTGCTTCATTCCGAAGAAACGTGACGCGAAAGCCGAAAAGGAGAAATGTGCAATTTCACCGCGTCGAGAGTCGACCGTTGTCGTCGTCGTCGTCGATTCGCAACGGACTATATTTGGAGAACTTGTAATTTCTTGATTATCTGACGCGTCATGAAACGCGGTTCTAAGTGCACGCGATAAAATGTTGCTTGAAAGTTTGGAGTATTAGTGCGATCCTTGGTTTTATTAAGCAATTTCAAAGGTGTGCGCAATTCGCGACTTTGTTTACCAAAGCGATCTCGAAAGGATAATATACGCGCGTACACAAAACTCACGGAAATTCTAAAAAATCAGCTTGCAAGAGAAAGAGAGTTATACGGCATATAGCACCAATATAAAACTGTCAAGTAATAGAAAACATATGTGTTTTTATGATCGTCAATCTAGTTTGTTGAAGGACTAATAACCCGATTAAGAATTGCTCAATTTATATTTTTTTGTATTCTTCATGAGATTCTTCCTGTAAATAAATAAACACAAAATAAATTCAAATCACAACGGCTTCAACTACGAAAAAATATATCTTGCATATAAGTGCGAGTAACTTTATGTAATAGAGTTATATATATATATATATAAAAGAAAACATGGTCGCAAGCATTATATGACACGTATATAAAAAGCACCGAAGTGAGGGTGATGTCATGCTTTAAATCCCGAAAAGGAAACGTCTCCGCCGCGGGAAAAAAAAACCCAAGATAAAACGCGACGGTGACGACGGTATACGATTCGCGTTGTGTTCCGCGTCCTCGACATCGATACGATACATTCGTCTTACAGAAATGGTGCAGCGATCTCTCGTAAGAAGGAACATTGTTAAGTTCAATTACAAATGACGATTCAACGACGAAACGAAGAAAAAAGCTATGCTTCACGAGATCTGGAACTCGAGCATTTATCATCATTAATAATTTTACACCTCATAAATTATTGATATTGTGTTCGTATAGTTAGTTGTTGTTTTCTTTTTTAAATATACTAACCGATTTATGAGGAAAATTAATTTTAATAAAGTCGGATGCTAGATTCACATAGGTTATTTCCGCAAGTCGCGTATCTATGTATCACTCTTTGAGGAAAATCAAAAATAAGACTCAATAACACACATTGACAACTCAATTAAAAAGAAATTAAATTGTAAATAAAACTTGGCGCAAACAAGCTACGGTTCTTTCAAAGAGAATCAAAATAGAGAGGAAATTTCGTGCGGTGCTAATTATCGCTAACTCGTAAAAGATACGATAACTGCATGATGACTGACGTTTTCTCGGATTGTCTGCCAAAATCGTGAGAATTGAGAAGAATAGACTTCCACTACGGAGATTAAGAACGGCCCGCGATTTGTTTTACGACAAATAATGCATATTCATTAAAGAACGAGGTTCAATCGAGAAAGCTCCTTTGCAGCGGATGCACTCTTCTTTGGTTCCGTTCGACACAAAAGATGCGATCGTGGCCAGTGGACAGCTGAAAGACTGCTTTCAACGCACGCCTCTCGCCCCTCTTCCTCCCGGCCGTTATCGAGAGATTCAACGAATTTTCCTTCTTGTCCGAAAGTAAAAACGCGTATCACTACGTTCGGTCAATATATCGGCAACAAGTGGCGCTGAACGATACTTACGCATTCGCGAAAGAAATTTCAAGTTGCAATTAAATGACAACTTCCATACGTATCGTTTCCTTTACCGATATATCTGCTGATGCATTTTAAAAACTGAACAACGCATTGAGAAAAGAGTGAAGTCATTATTATGTCCCGAGAGTCCCGAGAGGCATGTGTGTTTTGTCACAAATTGTAGAAGTGTATCCTTGAACGTACAATTTAAAAATATCAAATCAATGATGCATTTTGTAGAGCGATTAGTACGTGTCAAGACACTATTTGGCAAATTTATATCTCATTTATGAACGTCGCAAATTGCTTCTCTTAAAAAAAGACATGCTAATACTTTTATTGCAAAATTTTACGCAAATTGTTTTAAAGGTTATTCCGAAGAAACAGAAGAGAGTCGCGCTCAGATAAATAAATAAAATATAAGAAATAAAGAATGACTACATACAATAAAATAAAAAGCTAAACTAAAAATAGCAGTGAACTTTTGAGTATACAAATTCACATATACAAGTGCGATTTCTTCTACGCATTCTTAGTGTCACACAAAACATGTATAACGTATGAGTTTCTAAAGTTTGTCTACAAACTTTCTTAATTATTTATCATGCTATAGGACAACTTCTGAAATCAGTATAACCTGCGAGTGACGTAAGATGATCTTCCGACGATGATCAGTTGAGGGCAAAACTTTGTTTATTTGTTTGCAAGTAAGTATTATCTATTACAATACAAATTGCGAGTTGTAATTTAACAAGTGAAACATACAGATTTTCTCTCTCTCTTTCTCGTCAGTGTCATCCGCCCAATAAATGACAATAATCATTTCTTCACCCACTAAGATTTTGTCACAGGATATACAAACCTTGCAGTGTGTACATATAATCAACTTTATATTCATAAACAAGTCGTCGTCCGAATATTCACCCAAAAAAACTGTATTTGTCTTAAAAAATTTTCTTTAAGAAAATAGCTTTCTCTTGTATATCTTATACAATTTATTACAACTGTTTAAAAAACGATTAAGTTTATTTCTAGAGATATCTTACAATATTTTAAGTAGCGAAATAAGTTTAAATTAAAATTGAATTTCCAAAACTTCAAATTCGATTTAAAGCAGATGCGCAAAAGAAAGGAGTAAAAAATTTGAATTTAATGAAAAGACGATCGCGGTATGTAAGTACAAGTATATATATCGAGATGAAATTATTGCCGAACGTACCTGATGATTTAAATCCCGTAGTAAAGTTTCGAACCGCTCGCGATATTCCATTAAACTGTCACTCGAGTTGTTATGCATTTCTCTCGAAGGGCTCAGGAATCTGACACTAGCCGTATCCTCGGCCATTACCGCAGAACATTTAGCAACTTAATGGCTTTAAACTAAAACGACATCTCTCCGTTTCGATCTTTGCGACACGACTAGCGACGAACGTGTGTTACATACATGGCGTGAAAGTTTTTTATTTCCTTATTTGTACGATCGACATCGAGGAACCTCGTGATCTTTCTTATGTACGAGATGCATCAACGCGAAGCAACGCTTTTAAGATAGATACTTAATACTTGGCAGAACCGATACAAAGTTTTTTTGCTTGTTAGAAAATTTGAGTTTCAGTATATACTAATTATACAAACTGATCAAAATTCACAAATAAATTTTGATGTTAATCCAAACGTCTTCGAACGACGTTCCGAACGAAATAAAATATTTCAGACCTGTTGTGCAAAGTGATAAACAAATTTGTAAATAAATTGCGACGTTAATTCGAATCGCACGTACGTCGTTCTCGAACGTTCGAGCAGATTAAGCAATATCGAATAAATAAGCGGCAGGAACACGAATATTTAATTTGGCAAAAATATCGGGGAACACGTAGGAGTATCTCAATCGGCAACAATAACATGTCATAAACTCGATTGCTCCTCGATTGCGCTCGATGCAGATTGAGTAATTGAAAGGTCGCGAGCTCCCAACCGCGTATATCTTTTGGCCAAAGAGGATCTAGAAGAGGTATTCTTCTTCTTCTCAGTATATCACGATCCTGCACAAAGTGCAGCATTCCTCGCTTTCAAAGGCACAGTTGTGAAAAATTTAATACAGCGATGAACGAGTGACGAGAGAAAGTCTGATAATAATAATGACGAGATGGCTATCTTCGTGACTCGGGGAAATAAATCGAATTTGAAAGTGAGGCTCGGGTGTGCAAGCTATAATAATTACACAAAAGTGCAGAATCTAAATTTATAAGCCGAGGGAGATCATCGTGCGGTGACTATTCGCGTATTAACTTGATTAAATGCAGCTTGAATGAATATTGTCCAATCGGTTGTGTTGAATGAGAACCTCTGATTGCACGCACACAGAGGCAAAAGTAACGTACACACAGTTTATCACTCACGGCACACTCCGATCGTCATCTCGCGTTGCACGACAATTTTATATACACGCATGAGAATAACAGAGGTAGTTATAATTGTAGTCTTTTTCTCTTTCATTAAAAGTTGGAAACAGCCAATATGTGTGATCAACGTGTACAGATAAAGTAATTAACGCAGACGGTACTACGTTAATCGAGCTCTGTGTGTGTTAAACTTTTATCATTTGATTTTGAAAATTATTCGATTTATCTCGATTTTTTTCTAGTCATTTTTAGTCAAACATCGGTGACTTTCGAATTACAATCAACGATCATCAACGCCTAGCAATTCTCAAAATTCATATCGCTTATCCCGAATACAAGATACGTAAAAAAAAAAATATCTTGAAACATATCTCGAAAAGAATCGACTTGTGTGTGTACACAAGTTAAATATGCATATAGATAAATAATACTAGTCTCAAAAAACATAATTTCAATAAAATTAAGAATAAGTTATATTCAATAAGATTCTTATCAACGTTACTATTAAGAACTTTCGTTCCGAACAGAAGAGCTGAGAAGTAAGGACGATAGTGTTCTCACGTGCTAACGCGAAAAGCATTTTACCAAGCAGATAGTGGCAGGCGACTGTAATTAATCGTCTCCTTTCTCCATTTATAGACAGCGCGCGTCACGTATGTACGTGCTCGAGACGAGGAAACTTGCAATCGAATCGACATTGCGGTTAATGTCAGTTGATATTAAGAACGGTCCGATTAATTATCGTACTGCTTTATCTCCTTCCTTGGTTATAATCTTTTAATAAATGTTAAAGCGGGAATAACACACAGCAGAGTTTTCTTAAACTATTATTATGTTTTAATAGGAAAAATAATATACATAAAGATTTTCAATAATAAAATAATTTTTCTTTTTATGTGTACTCGCTATGTGTTAGTTATTAAGAATTGATGGTGAAATATTAAGCCAACGCTACTGTTTCTTATAACAGTTAAAATGCGTTGGGATCTGCTTAACTTCAATAGTGCAGGAAATAAATATATCCTGCGCAAGAGAGATAAATACATATTACAAACAAGCGAAAGTTGTTCAGAAAAGAGATAAAATAACGTAAATAAAGGTTAGATGATTTTAGAGAAGTTCGAGGTTTGCGAACGACTCTCGTTCGAACAATAACCTACCTACCTTGGGATTACCGTTGCTAAGCCACGGTATAACATTGTCGATGAACATGCCGATGTCCTGGCACTCGATGCTCTTGCTCGAATCGCCGAGGTAGGACAGCAACGCGTTACCGACGTTTAGCTTCTTTTTAATGTCCGACGTTGACAGGAGCGGCATGAAGCCGTCCATATCACGCGGATTCACCGCCATGGTGAGTAAGAGATGCTAGACGTCGCAGGTTCTTCTCCGTCCTCGTCGCTGTCTTAAGGTGATATTTTTCCGCGAGTTATGTCGGTCAAAGGGTGAAAAAAAACGGAACAAGGACGAGATGTCTCACACATAGACACAAACACACACACACGCGCACATCAACAACACATTACTCCACAGTCACGATGCTTACGATGCGCGGAAACGGAGATCTCGCGTCCTTCATCGTGGCCAAGAGAAGGAGCTGTTGTCACACGAATCGTGAGAGAGAAACAGAATTTTATTGCGTCGTTACGATACTGTTCGCACCGATATAATCGCCGTCACTGTAGTTGTCACTGCTATGTCCTATTGCTGCTAATGCTGCTGCTGCTGCCGCTGCCGCTGCTGCTGCTGCTGCTGCTGCCGCCGCCG